CTTGCTGGCGCCACTCGGATAGGAGAGGATCGGGTTGAATTTCCTGGTGTTCATCTGTCTAGGTTGTAAGTTATTTCTCCCTGAATAAACATCTATTCGGCCTATTTGTTTATCCTGATCCTTATTTTCCTTTGGGCCACTAGCTCACAAAAATGACATGGAGACTTATATTATTAAAGCTCCACCTTAGGTTAGGCTTGTTTCTGACTAGCTCTTATAACTTAAATTAACCCATATTTTAATCTATGTTTTTCCATGTGTCCATTACCTCATCTCCATTTTGCCCATCCTGCTTCCTCCAGGTCTGGCTGGGAACTCTGCTTTTCTTCTTCCCAGAGCTCTCTGTCCAGAAGTTCCACCTCCTGCCTAGCTATTGGCCGTTTAGCTTTTTATTAAGCCAATCACAGTGACACATTTTCACACAGTGTGAAGGAACACATTCCACATTTCTCATTTTTTGTCTAAAAAAAGGTTTTAACTCTAACAAAGTAAAACTATATATAATAAAAAATTAAAAGGTATGAATTACATTTACAATGTCCAGTCCATTTGCATTTAACAGTTAGAGAAAATACTCCATTATCTATCATATTGTTATCGTGGAATGATAAGTATTGGGAAAAACAGGCTGAATGGATGTTTATTCAGGGAGAAATAACTTACAACAGAGCAACAGAGACAGATGAACACCAGCAGGTTCCTGAAGGAGTGCATTCTCGATGGTGAGACAGAGAGAGACAGCATCTGGAGTCCTCTACCTCAAACCTAGTTTCCCCAGGTCATATCTACACCTGTTCTCACCCCCAATGGTCAGTGCAACAGGTGCGGACAGAGTGAATATCTCACTACATATCATAGTCCAAAGGGTTTTTTTTTTTTTTTTTAAGATTTATTTATGTATTACATATACAGTGTTCTGTCTGCATGTGTGTCTTCAGGCCAGAAGAGGTCACCAGATCTCATTACAGACAGTTGTGAGCCACCATGTGTTTTGCTGGGAATTGAACTCAGGTCTTCTATAAGAGCATCCAGTGCTCTTAACCACTGAGCCAATGCTCCAGCCCAGTCCAAAGTTTTATACCTAAATCTTTTTAAATCTAAAAACATCTTTTTAGATAAACAGCTTAAGCTTTTATGTTATTCAACCTTATGAACTTTTTTTTTTGGTTTTTGAGACAGGGTTTCTCTGTATTGCTTTGGAGCCTGTCCTGAAACTAGCTCTGCAGACCAGGCTGGCCTTGACCAGAGGCCGCCTGCCTCTGTCTTCCAAGTACTGGGACTAAAGGTGTTAGCCACTGATGCCCAGCGAACCTTATAAACTTTACATCTCTTATGTAAGCTTCTTTTTTGACAACAAGGAAAACTGTAAAAAATATGTACTCTTTAATCTCCATCAGAGACCTGAGTAAACAGGAAGTGCAGAGCAAGCAACTTCCAAAACTATAAAAATGACAGAGATAGCTGCCTGGACAGTCACCCCAGGTTCCTCTGCAACAATCCTCTGCAACAACGGGGCATCCATCTTCAGCCTACAGGCCTAGAATATCTGACAGACTTTTCTGTGAAACAGAAATCATGAAGTACTACCCCATTTTGTCTTGGCAAAATTTGGCAGCCATTTACTTTTGTGTCCTGTTTGTTCAGTTTGGACAGCATACTGTCAACAGTTTCTTGCCCAAGTGGATAACTTTTGCCACAAAGAAAGCAAACTCCATATGGAGGTTCTTTGATGCCCATTATCCTTTTTTGAAATTAATTGGTATTACCAGTAGACGTATCTCACTGTCCTGAAAACCTAGGATTATTAAAACATCTAAAATGCCATATTCTGTAGGTCTTTGAAATGTCTAAAGATCAACTATCTAATATATATCCCTGAAAACATACCTAACATGACTATGAGTTTGATAGTATAGATGACTACTAACCTGTATTTCTGAAGCCAAGATATGTCTAAAATATATAGTCTGTTTTAGTTCAGCAGTCCCTTCCACAATCCAATGTCTCTCAGCAGCCGTTATTTTCTGTTTGTTAGCATTCAAAAAAATTTAAATTATCACAACATCATACAGGATCCAGACTCTCTCCATTTTCTATGTTCATGTGGCTTAATCTTTTTTATATTATTTTCCCTTTAAGGAACTTATTATTTATAAACTACTTTTTCTATGATGGTCTATATCTATTTTCTTTTTTAAGCCTACAAATATTTGTTTAAACGTACTGTAACCTGTTCAGGTCCCCCCCCCCCCATCAATATTCTCTTATTGAGTGGGACAAATCTATATCGGCCACCTGCACAGCTCAGCTTAGCATGTGGCACTGGTGCATGGTGCTGGTGGCTGCCTCCAGCCCACAGATAATCTCTGTACACCAAGCCTACCCAACAGACCTTAGCCACCAGGAAGGAAGCTGTGTTTGAGTTTGTGTTTTGAACTTAGGTCTGTGGATATATGTGGCTGGACTGTGGGTGCCAAGTGTAGACAGTTTTTCTTTGGGAAGTCAGCACACACACAACAGAAAAGAGAGGCATTGATTATGAAAGCACAACCTTAGCGTAGGCTTGTTTCTGACTAACTCTTCTAACTTAAATTAACCCATATTTTAATCTATGTTCTTCCATGTGTCCATTACCTCATCTCCCTTTTGCCCATCCTGCTTCTTCCAGGTCTGACTGGAGAATCCACCTTCCTTCTTCCCACAGTTCTCTCTGTCCAGAAGTCCCACCCATACCTCCTACCTAGCTATTGGCTGTTTTAAACCAATCACAATGACACATCTTCACACTGTGTAAATCAATATTCCACAACATCCATCTTCTTCTACCTCATTAAAAGCATGAACCATCATTGCCAGGTGAAAAAATGACCTTTAGTTTAATTTTAAAAAATTTGCCTGGTGGTGCTGGTGCACACCTATAATCCCAGTGCTAGGGAAGCAAAGGCATGTAGATATCTGTGAGTTTGAGCCTCTTTATGTAGCATTGGCTGTCCTGGAACTAGCTCTGTAGATCAGGCTGGCCTCAAACTCACAGTTTATTTGTGGCTCTGCTACTGCAGCAAATATCTCTTTCCCCTAGAGAATATTAGCTACCACACAGAGTTTAGGGAAAAGTGGGACTTTGTGAACACCTCTCCCTGAAACAGGATGATTTGAGCGAGTGGTTCCAGGCCAGCCTAATCACCATAGATTATCTCCAGGGGGAAGGAGGTAATCACACCTTTGATTCCAGCACTCAGGATGGAGGCAAGGCTGCAGGGGGTCTGACAATAACTCAGAATACATAGTGAATTTCAGACCAGTCTGAGCTAGAGTGAGATCCTGTCTCAAAAAATCAAAAGCAAGCTACATCTTTAATCCCAGCACTCAGGAGGCAAAGAGAGGTGAGGATCTGTGAGTTAAAGGACAACCTTGTCCTAAAATTTCCTGTCAGCCAGGGCTACATAGTGAGACCCTATCTCTAGAAAACTAACACAAATTAACCAAGCAAAATTTGTCAGGATGGTCAGACAGCTTGGTAGGTAAACAGCACTCGGTGCCAAGACTGACAACCTGAGTTTAATCCCTCATAGCCCACATAGTAGAAAGAACTCATTTCTACAAATTGTCCTCTGACATCCATAGGATTGATTGCTGTGGTGTGCTTAAATCCACTACCCAAAATAAATAAATGTTAAAAAAAAATGTAAAAAGACACAAAAAATTGCCGGGCATGGTAGTGTATGCTTTTAGTCTCAGAGGAAGAGGCAGGCAGATCTAATGTGAGTTCGAGGTTAGCCTTGTCTACAGAATGAATTCTAGGACAGCCAAAGATACAAAGAGAAACCCTGTGTTGAAAAATAAAGAGAGGAAGAAAGAAAAACTTTAGGCAGGTGTTCATGGGTATGTTATTCCAGAAGTTGGGAGGCTGAGGGAAGAGGATGGAGAGCTGGAGGTTGGCCTGGGCTACATAAATGAGACAGTGTCTCAAAAAAACAACAGCAGCAGCAACAACAAAACAATAAACAAGCCTCCCCTCACCCCCACCCCCCGCAGTGGTGGCACACACCTTTAATCCCAGAACTCAGCATTGAGAGGCAGAGGCAGGCAGATCTTTCCAGTTTGAGGCCAGCCAGGTCTATAGATCGAGTTCCAGGACAGGCTACAAAGCTATAGAGAAACCCTGTCTCAAACAAACAAAAACAAAACAAAAAACAACTTTCAGTGGGAGGTTGCTGTTTTCATTTTTTCGACAGGATCTCCGAAGTCATTGTTCCATCTGCCTTGGGCTCCTGAGCAGCTAGGGTAACAGGCCTGCCCCTACTGGGCCAAAAGACATTCTAAAGAGTAGCAAAGTTTGTTTTTATAAATTCCAGAGTTTATGATCTTTTGAATTCTTACAAAATTATACAATAGTACGATGTTTGAATAAGAATGGAGAATGGCCCCCTATGCTCAGCCATGATGCCTTTAATCCCAGCACTTGAGAGGCAGATCTCTGAATTCAGCCTGGTCAACAGAGTGAATTCCAGTATAGGCAGGGATACAGAGAAACCCTGAGTTGTGAAGGTGGGAGGCAGAGAATGGCCCCTATAGGTTGACATATTTGATGGAATGGCACTATTAGAAAGGGTTAGAAGGATTAGGAGATGGGGCCTTGTTGGAATAAGTATCTCCGGGGGCAGGTTTTAGGTTTCAAAAGTCCATGCCAGGCCCACTATCTCTCTTCTGCCTCCATGTTTCTCGACATTGTGATAATGGACTAAGTCTCTGAAACTGTAAGCAAGCCAGCCTGGCAGTGGTGGTGCATGCCTTGAATCCCAGCACTCCCGACGCTAACTTCCCATTTTACAGCTTTGAAAAAAAAAAAAAATAATCTTAGTGTTAGGAGTCTAAGGTCGTAGGGTGCCACCTCTGGCGAAGACACAAGCATGATCAGTCCACGTTGTGCCCTGCTGCAAAACTTTGCCTCGGCTTCCAGAGCTACGTTCGGAGGGGAAATCAACAATCTCTCCGAGGGATTAACCATTTTTCAACCCGTCCGCTTCCCACGTCCCCACCAGACACGCCTCCAAGCTTCCGAACTCCGCGCGGGTGGCGAGCGTCCCGTCCCAGGCCAGCGCCTCCCGGGCTCCACTTCCCGCCACCGGGGCTCCTCCTTCTCCTCCTCCTCCTCCGCGCGCCCGCTCGGCTGCCGGCCTCCCGGACGGAGGTGCCCGCGCGGGCAGGTCTTGGCGCCAAACGGGTGGCGGCGCTGTCCAGCCCGGCGCGCGGCCGCGTCGGGCCCGAGGGAGGCGGGGGCTCGGGCGGCGGAAGAAGGGGCGGGAGCGAGGCGCGCGTTGCTCTCGCGTGCTCTCGCACCGCTCGCGTGACGGGCTCTGGGTGTGCGCGAGGCTCCGGCTCCGGCTCCGCGGGGCACGGGCAGCCGGGAGCGCGCCGCGGCGAGAGGGCGTCGGGTGCGGGTGGGCGCGAGGTGCGGGCGGGAGGGAGAGCGAGCGGGCGGGCGCGGGGGGCGCGCGGGCGTGCACCCGCGCGCGGGCTCTCGGAGGAGTCGCGGCCGAGGCTGCGCTTCCTCTGCCCGACGGAGAGCGGCAGTGTCGCCCCGGCCGGCGCACGCTCGGCCCGCGTCTCCCCCCGCGGCGGCTGCTCCTCGGCACCGCCAGCCCCAGCGCCGCTCCGGGGCGGGCGGGCGGCGGCGGCGGGACCCGCGGAGCCGCTTTGTGTGCAGGCCGACGAGGGGCGGCGGCGGCGGCGGCACAACCACCTGACAGAGGCCCGGCGCTCGCTGCACCGTCCGCCCGCATGAGGAGGAGGTAAAGCGGCGGCCGGGCTCGCGCCCTCGGCGGCAGCGGCGGCGGCGAGGGAGGGACGGAAGGGGAGACCGCAGGGGAGGGCGCGCGCCGAGGCCCGGCGGGTTGTCCGGAGCGGCCGCTCAGGCCTCGGCGGTGCCGGGGTGGCGCCGGGCGGCCGAGGGGTGGGAGACGCCGCCGGGCTCGGTTGCTGAAGTTACGGAACAAAATGTGAAGTGCGGAGCCGCGTCCTCCGCTTCCTGGCGCGGGGCTCGGGCCGCGGGCGGCTGGCGGGGGTGGCGGGCTCGCTGGGGAGGGGCGGCCGCGCGGCGGGGACGCCGGGGGCCCGGGGCTCGGCGCGGCCACGGCATTCTGCTCCCGGGCGCCGGCGCCGCGCGTGGGTCCTCCTGGGGACCTAGTTTTGCGGCCTAAGCTGAACCCTCTAGGCCTCGCGTCTCCTTTCCCGGAGGGGACCGGCCAGGCGGGGACCCGGCCGCTTCTCCTGGGCCGGCCTGGGGCCTTTTGGTTCCTCGTTGGTCCCCCGAGGCCACCAAACTTCCGACCTAGGTGCTCGGGGCTGCATTTCATTGTGAAAAGAGGGCTAGGAAACTCCGGGCGCCGTTCGGCACCTCCCGCGGCCGCCGCGGCTGCAGCTCAGAGCCCTGTGGTTCCGGGGCTGGAGCGGGTGGGGGCGGCGGACGTCTAGCGGGATCCGAGTCCCAGAGAAGGAGCGAGCGGCGGGGGTACCCCCGGCCTCGGGGGAAGAAAGGACTCTTACCAGATTAGAGATGTTTGAAATGAAAAAGAGGTTACAAAGTCTCCCCTTTCCCGCTGAACTTTGATTTTCTGACCGATAGAGGCCGGTAGAGGACTGTGAAAGAAAAGTTATCCCCCAGGATGGACTTCACGCAGCCGAAGCCTGCCGCTGCCCTCTGTGGCGTCGTGAGTGCAGACGGGAAGATCGCTTACCCTCCGGGAGTAAAGGAAATCACCGACAAGATCACCACCGACGAGATGATCAAACGTCTGAAGGTAAGCGTCCGTTTCGGTGCTCTGCGCTCTGGATGGCTTTCTGACTCTTGGTTTCGCTGGACTAGTTTGGTTTCGTCTTGGCCTTTGGAGTTTTTAGTACTAAGTCTTTAAAGATAGTTTATCGTCTTCTCTCTTAAAAGTGTAGTTCTAATTTGGAGACATGTTTAGTTCTGAAAGGACATAAGTATGGGGAATTTAGAAGGAGTGTGATCATTTTCAATCCTGTTTATTGAGCATAAGAACTTAACATTTAGTGGCTTCTCTTTTCCCTGTGGTCGTTTTATTTAATGAATATTATTTAAGTGGCTTGTACCCTTATGTGAAGCTGTGATTAGCCCCGAAGGTTCTTGTTTCCATCAAATAAGATTGATGTGAGCACAAGCAACCTTTTTTTTATGATGATTTTTTAAAATTTTATGTGCATTGGTGTTTTACCTACATAATATGTCTGTGTGGGGGTGTTGTATCTCTGGAACAGACAGTTGTGAGCTGCCATGTGGATACTGGGAATTGAACATGGGTCCTCTGGGAAAGCAGCCAGTGCCATCTCTGCAGCCCACAAGCAACCTCCCCCTCCCTAGTTTCTCACAATTTTTGAATATCTGAAAGCTTAACTGTGTGTACGGTGTGGCTAAACTATAGAGTGTACAGAATTTTTCAAAACTCAAGCTTAAAGTAAAATAATGTAAGTACACATGCCCAAGAAATTTGAGGACTGTATTGCAATTTCTGGGATCAATTTTCCTTGGTGTAATGTGGTAGTTCTTAATAATCAGTGTTGTATGTTTTAGTATCTTGCACTGGTCAGTTTTAGGCTTGTTTTTCTGTGGACATATATCATGGCCAGAGCCTTAGCAAAGGAGGGCAGTTTTTGTTATAGAATGAGCTTCAAGCAGTGATTTGTCACTTTGGGACAACTTTGATTCACCAGGGGATGTTTTTAGGCATTTTAGTTGTCACAGCTGGGGCTTGTTTGGAATAGGGAGACCTAGGAGTGGGGGGGGGGGGTGAGCCCTGCTAGGAAACTGGCAGTAGTTTAGGCAAAAGATCTTAAACTTTTAAGTAGGGCATTGACAGTGGAAATGGAGGGACAAGGAAAGGGTCACATGAGCTGTTTGAGAGAGGCTCTCATGTAATAGCCCTGCTGGTCTTGAGCTTACCATCTTCCTCCTTCGTCTTTCCAAATGCTAGAGTTACACCACATCCTGTTACAATAGTGATTCTCAACCTATGGGTTGTGACCCCTTTGGGAGTCAGCATGAGAGCCCAAGTTACATTTAAGTTTTAATTACTGTGCCAAAGAGATCCTTGAAACAAAAATGCCTTTGATCTGCAAGCCCCTTGCCCAAGGACAGATAGTTCTGAAATGCTGTAGGCTATTGGTTATGGAAGATTACAAGGCCCTTGTTTTTCATTCCCCTAAACAAGTTCCATTGACCCATATGCACAGGATGCACTTGATCACATTTGGGTGGGAGGTTTTCAGGCTGGAGATACTTTAGGATGTATGCTTGCCCCGGATTGGACCTAATGGAAAATGCAATGAATTATGGGTTTTCCTTCTTAAGCCCTTGCCATACTGGATTCTGGGCCATTTCCTAGGAACCTGGGTATGGACCTGGCTAGAGTCCATCCACCTGATCAATATTTAGTTAAAGCTTGCTTCAAATTGGGCTTTAAACTGTGGTAGTCGTCCTAATCTCTTGAACCACCCTTTCACAAGGGTCTTGTGTCAGATATTTACATTATGATTCATAACACTACCAAAATTACAATTATGAGGAAGCAACAAAAATTATGGTTAGGTTCACTGTAACATAAGGAATTGTATTAAAGGGTCCCAGAATTACAAAGGTTGAGAACCATTGTACTCAAAGATGCTTCAAAGTTAAGTCAGACATGGTGGAAGGCTAGGCAAGAAACATTGTTGGCAACTTTTCTGCCTTGGGCAAATTTTTTATGTGCATTGGTGTTTTGCCTGCATTTATGTCTGTGTGAGGGTTTTGGATCCCTTGGACATGAAGTTACAGTTTTGAGCTACTATGTTGGTGCAGGGAATCAAACAGTGCTCTTAACTTCTGAGCCATCTGTCCAGTCCCTTTGTGCAACTTTATAAAATGTATTTTTAGGCTCTGATCTTAGAATTGAGTATAGTGTCTAGTAAGTGTTGTGTGTTTAAAGTATTCCTGTGGTTTAGTTTCCATTTGTTGCCTTTTTGAAAGAATCTGTTTCTTTAATTAAAACAGACCTTTCTGTTTTCTTTCCCTTCCTTTTTACTGGGGTGGAGAGGATGCATGTGTAGGCAGTGCATATTAAACCCAGACCCTGATTTACTACTGAGCTCTACACCCCAGCCTAAAGCAGATAAATCTTTTTGTTGTTTTTGAGACAGGGTCTGGCCTAAAACTTGCTATGTAGATGAGGCTGCTCTCAAATATCCCTCTGCTTTCTCAGTTCTCTCTGCCTTTGAAGTGTCACAGTGCTCAACTAAAATCTTTTTGTGAGAATGTATGTATAAGTGTGTGTCTGTGTCTGTGTACACGTGGGAAGATCCATAAGCACTTTTATGTATGTTTGTGGAGATCAGAGGACAATCTTGGGTATTATCCTCTCTCCTCTGGCCTTTGAGAAAATGCCTGATGTCCGTCTCCTTTGAAATAAGGTTTCTGGTTGGCCCAGAGTTCACCAATTAAGTTAGCTGTCTAGTGAGCATGGAGAATCCTGCTGAGATTAACAATAGTGTGACCACATGGAGCTTTTTATGCTATGCTGGGGATTGGAGTCCAAATTCAGGTCCTTATACTTAGAAGTATCCCCAGCTCCCCAAAGTGAATCTTGCTACTAAGGAATATGTATTATGTACTGATACTTTGTTAATGTTTCATAAGCCATATTGCATATTTTGAGTAAGACTGAACAACTAAGAAGAATAAAGCTGTTCAATAAAATTAAGATTGCACCTGTTTGTGTGTGTTTTGTCCTGTGTATAAATTCTTCCTTGACCTTTGATTTGAGTGTGCTGGAATGACAGGTGTGCCACCAAACCTAACAATCATCTAGTTTTGATTAAGTGTTTAAATTAAGAATATTGAAATAGATGTGCTGGTGGTGATACATGCCTTAAACCTCAGCAACTGAGGAAGCAGAGGACAGTCAGGGCTACACAGAGAAATCCAGTCTCAAAAAACAAAATTTGAAATAGCCAGGCATGGTAGTGATCACATTTAATTACAGCATTCAAGGATTTCTGTAAGTTTTGTAAGTTCTAGGACAACCTGGTCTACATAGTGAGTTCTAGGCTAGCTTGGAGTATGCAGTGAGACCCCCAACTCCAAAAAATTAATAAAATTAGGTAAAAAGAATAATAAAACCTTGAATTCTTAGGTGTGAAGTCTTTAAAAAAAAAAAAAAAATTTGGGCCACCTAGATGATTCATTAGGTAAAGGTGCTAACCCTGAAAACTTGAGTGGGATCCCTGGTGGAAGGAGAATGGGTTCCCACAAGTCCTTAGACCTCCACATGCAAGTCATGAGTATTCTCTTCTCTCTTACACACTAACGTGCAATGAAAAATTTAAAACTATGACATATTTTCTACTAATAGATTAAATATTAGAAATTGTTGACTGTGAAAGGTCAAGGACAATACTGGGTTAGCTATCCATTTATTATGGATTGGATTGTTTTGCAAGTTAAAGTTGGTACACTTTTTTTTTTTTTTTTTTTTTGAGACAGGTTTTCTCTGTGGCTGGTCTATAGAGCCAGTTTCAGGAGAGCCAGGGCTACAGAGAAACTCTATAGAGTACTGGAACTAGCTCTGTAGACCATGCTGGTCTAGCTGTGAGTTCTAAACCAGTCTAGAACTCACAGAGATTCACCTGCTTTTAAAGGCGTTTCACCATCAATGCCTAGCAATTGATACACATTTTTATCAATTAAAAAAAAAATTTTTTTTTTTGCTTTATTTTGTTTCTGTAGAGTTTCTCTGTAGCCCTGGCTGTCCTGAAACTGGTTCTATAGACTAGCTAGCCCTGAACTCACAGAGATCTGCCTGCCTCTGCCTCCCAAATGCTGAGAATTGAAGATGTATGGTTTTTGTTTTGTTTTAATAAAGACAAAATCACATAACCAAGACTGGCCTTGAACTTAAGATCTTCCTAACTCCACATCTGAAATGCTATGATTACATTTATGTAATCCTATGCCTAAGGATTGAATCTAGTGTTTCATGCATGCTAAATTGATACCCTATGGACTGACCCATATCCTCCACCTCTGTTTCTTTTTTCTCCCTTTAATATTGTCTATTTTTGAAAGGATCTCATTATATATGTCCAGGCTAACCCCAGAATTCTCCTCTTACATCCTAGGGGTTACAAACATGTTCCACTGCATGAAGTTGTCTTCATAATTTAAGGAAAAAGTATATCTGTGTATAAGTGCACTGTGCCTTGGTGTGCATATCGAGGTCAGAGAATAACTTAAGTAGTTCTCTTTTTTTACCCCTTGGGCCTCAGGGATTGAAGTCAAGATTGTCAGACTTGGTTGCATTTTGTTGCTAAGCACTTCTACGTACTACTGGGTCCATAATTTTAAAGTTATAATGGTTCTAAAAATACCCCTCCACCTCCAACTGATGACAAAAATTACGTCCATGGTACCTAAATGACCCAGTAGCATTCATCAGATCAGTTATAAAGCTGATTGGTGGCAAATCCAGGGCATTGGTATTGTATTTGTGTAGGTTCTGACATAGTTTGTATGTAAGGCATCTTTACTAGATATGACTAAAGATTTGTGATTTTAAAGTATTAAATTTAATATCCTGTATATCACAACACATTTGATTAAAATATTACACTTCATATTTTAAATTAAATATTTAAATTTCAATGTGGAGGGTGCATGCCCACAGCACATGTGTGGAAAGGTAGGAGGACAGATTTGTATAGTTGGTTCTCTCCTTCTACCTTTATGTGTTCTGGGAATCATCAAACTTAG